GTGTGACATTTATATATATATATATATATATATATATATATATATACACACACACAGTGGCGATCAAAATTACAGAACAATTTATAAACACTTAATTTTTTTCTAAACTAGTGTTAATTGCTCAATATTTGAAGGAATATTAGCTGTGGGTATACCACTGTTCTACTAGTATGTTTTACATCTTTATTTACTGTATGTATGCAGCAATAACATAGAACAACCATTTTTGGTTCCCCAGAGAACCTTTCAGTGAAAATTACTTAAAAGAACTTAGTCTGAAGAACATTTTAACAATCTAAAGAACCTTTTCCACTATAAAATACCTTTTGTGGAATGAAAAGGTTGGAACCATATAAAAGGAACCTTTATTTTTAAGAGTGCTGTTCTGGTGTGATCTCTTCCATAGTTCTGTAACTGTAGTGTCAAGTTGTTGTCCTTTGTTGTCAAGGATTTTCCAGATTTTCAATTGTGTGTAGATCAGTACTCTCAGCTGGCCATTTCATTATTTCAATGTTCTCCACTTTAAGGAACTGCTTTACCCATTTTGCAGTGTGACAGTGGGCATTGTCTTGCATGAAAATTGTGGGCTGATTTGGAGATGCTCACAGGGAAGGAACCACATGTTGCTGAACGAGATTCTGATAAAGATTTGCATTCACTCTACCATGTAGCTGTATAGAGGCACATTTCCTGCTGCAGAAATCATCTCTCAAACATAACACTTCTTCCTCCAGCATTCACTCTTTGCATTCCCCATCAGGCCCAGATAAGTTAAACTCGCTCTCATCACCAAAGTGAAATTTGGACCAGTTATTCTCTATGCACACAACATGCTCCCAAGCAAAGGTTAGCCTAGGCTTTTGTTTCTTTCTGCTGATGAGAGGCCTTCAGCACTGAACTGGCGAGCAATTGGAAAGTTATCCTAACAGAAATGCTGCCAGTTAAATAAGGTTTGTCAGATAATTAAGGAAATCAGCACCAGGTGTCAGATTAACACCAATAACTGGGAGGTATCTAAAATGTAATAATTTCTTTTTTTTAAATGTCTTATTTAAAGGGGTCATATGATGCGATTTCAATTTTTCCTTTCTCTTTGGAGTGTTACAAGCTGATTGTGCATAGATAAGATCCCTGAAGTTGCAAAGACTAAAGTCTCAAAACCAAAGAGATATTCTTTATCAAAGTTAAGACTCTGCCACGCCCCCCTAAAATGGCTCGTTCTAACACGCCCCCACATATCTACATCACTATGTGGAAATATTTGCATAATGCCACCCAAATGTGCAAGCAAAGAAAGAAGGCGTGGTTTCAGTAACCTCAGTTAGTATTGAAGCAGCATGTCAGGGAGATGCTGTGTGTTTCTAGGCGAAAGCAAAAGCACTTTATTTGGCCTTCCGAAAGTAGATGCATTTAGGAATCTTTAAGATTAGCTACTTACAACAGAACAGCAATGCATTTTATGGACGACCGTTTCGTGAACCTAGGAGAGGAGGTAATTCTGACTTTGCTATGACAATCTGGCGCTTCTGAATCAGCTACTGTTTTGTTATTAGTTTAAGTATTTGCTATTGACTGTTCAAATGTGGAGTTTTGCGCATCGTGTGTGTGTGTGTGCGTGCACGTGTGCACGCGTGTGTGTGTGAGAGAGAGAGAGAGAGAGACAGGGTCACATCACAGTGGAGTCAGCTGTCTTAACCGTGGCTTGTGTACTGCAAACACATACCAGCTTCATCACTGTGTCTGTCACGCGACTCTGTTCCCCTTTCGGGCTCTGTCTTTACATTTATTTTGAAAGATGAAGCTCGCGATTATGGTAAGGGGCGTTACATTTCCAACGAGTGCTTGCGGTGTTCGGCCAATCACAATGCACTGGGTCAGCTGGCCAATCAGAGCAGACTGCGCTTGTCAAAGGAGGGGGCTTTGTAGAAAACGAAGCGTTTGAGAGAGGCGGGGCATAGAGGACCTACAATAATGTACAGTATTTGAAAAATTATGTGTTTTTTGAACATTAAAGCATGTCAACATATTCTGTTACACCAAATACACCAAATAATGATCTTTAAAAAAGCATCATATGACCCCTTTAATATTTTATACTTTGCAGAATATATTTAATTTATGAAATATGCTTAAAAACTGGTCTTCTACTCCTACTAGGATAACTTCAAAATCAAATAGGACAAAGCACTGACCTTGAAATTTAGGAAACTGTAGGTTGTTCTGTAATTTTGATCTCTACGACACCTGGTGGCACAGCATAGATCATAAACTCGAATGAGTGTTAGCCAAATCAGATTACACTTCAAATACATTTTTCCCAAAGGTGGTTTCTGGCAGTTCTTATCACGCTGATATATGCTCAAGTGTTCATTTTTCTAATAAGTTTGGTTTTAGTTAGTGATTTGATGCCATAAAAATGGGGTGTGGTGTCATGATTAGGGCTGTCGCGATAACCGCAATATCGCAATACCGCGCTATTGACAAGAAAACCGCAGAGGAATGCAAGAACCGCAGCAACCACGATTTTTGCGTGTTTTCTTTTTTCATAGAGTTATGCCCTTCTCATTTTACACTTCGTGCATGTGTACTGAATATTAAATAAGTTATTAATGATAATATAATGTTTACCATTCTGATTTGTTCAGGGGCTTCGTAGATTTTCACTTAACAAGCCTAAACAGACAGCGAATGAAAGAGAGATCAACTGAGCATGTGTGATTACTTGCGAGTCATATATATTTGTGAAAATAGGTTGTCATGTCCAAGGAAAGCCAAATCTCAGTCAAAGTCAAAGTCAAGTCTTGGGGACACCGTCATCCAAAACACCGTCAACTCAAAGTCTTAGCATCGACACATTGCTGGTCAGCTGAGCCTTCTAACGTGGCGCTCAAAGTTAAAATGATGTCAACAGCGTGTTTCATTACGTCTCTCTTTGAATGAATCAGCTTGTAGTTGAATGAACGGTTTAAAGACTGACTGACAGCCTGTCTAGAACGCGCAGGTGGAAATATTAATAGAAAGTCTCTTGTCCAGTCAGATTCGAGGATCAGAACGAACTGTTATACATATAGGCTAACAATAGCCTAAC